CCATTCATGTCCTCACTATCCATATATTGATCAGATTTCATTTTGGAGGCCTATCATTGCAGAATTCAGTGGTCCGCTAATGCTTGGTTATCAGCCTGTTTCTCTTTTTGCAGGCTATATGTGGAATATCTGACACCGTGCATACTCATGGACTTTATCACAGTGGACACATTTACTCTCTCCTTTTTTCCTTTGGATCGGCCATACTATGCTAAAATCTTTTTTATAGTACACTATTGACCTGACAGCTCAGATTGGACTTCAGAGGCTATAGCCCTTTATACTTGATATTCTCTTTCAGGTCTTGACTAGTTTACTCCACCACATAGTCATCTGGTATTGAGGTTGGCCTCTTGACTGCAGTCAATCATTATCCATAGGATCATAATTTACTTGCTCATGTAGCAAGTGTAACACCTTAGCACCCTTCTTTCCCTTCTGGGGAGGGGGGTGGTTGGGCGAGTGGGTTAAGGAGGGTCCTTGTGGGAGGAGTGTAGGGGTACCTTGGGAGGCACATTGGGGGATTTTCTGGGGGATTGTTGAGAGGTGATTGTGTTGTTGGGGGAAGGGGGTTGGCTTTTAGGGGAGGTGCGGGTGCTGTTGATATACTGGGGCAAATTGGACACTTTATTTGGTGCCATCTATAGAGTGCCCATTGTGGGAGGTTTTTATTTATTATTATTATTATTATTATACAAGATTTATATAGCGCCAACAGTTTGCTCAGCGCTTATGGTCGGGAGTGGTTCCTAGATCCCCGATGCAACGTGTTTTTTTACTATGTATGGTTTCATGTAATAAAGATGTTTTTGAGGTTAGCCTTTTAGGTGTGTAGTCTATTTTCTTTTTCTTTAGTTTTTCAATTTGTATGGTTTAGGTAACATCCTACCAGGTATTTCTGGAGGCACCTCACTCTACATTTAATTTTTTTGGACTTTCCAGCTTTTCCTCACCCCCCTTTTTCTGTACAAGACCTCCTACTGAATCACAGCTGAACAAGACGGATCTCAGTGTTATGACATCTGTGCCCGTTCAGTGTGTGTCTGCATTTACACAGCGAACATGGGTGGACCTGTCATGGCCCTATGATCAGCTGGATGCAGGGGCATAGATAAGGGGGGGGGGTCAGGGGGGTCTGAACCCCCCTAGAGGAGAGTTGCCAACCATCCCTGCAGGCTGCAGCCCTCGAATTTTCCACTCGCTTGCAAGTGAAAATACGGTGGGGGCAGCGACCAGTGCAGGGACTAGGGGTGTGTGGGAAGGGCAGCTGTGGGGGCAGTGACAACCAGTGATTTCCTGTATGGCTTTCAATAAAGTAGCTAGAAGCCACGGGATGGAGAGGAGGAGGTGCGGCTTCCAGCTGCTTTATTGAAAGCCATACAGGAAATTGCTGCTTGCCACCGCCTCCACCGCTGCACAGAACATACCTGAAAGTTCAGTTTTCTTTCTGCCTCTCCCCCCGCACCGCCACTGTGTTCTTCTCATAGCCCAGCCCCTCCCTCCATCCTCCACACACTAATAGGAGAAGAGGGGAGGCTGGATTTCCTCTGCCTCATCCTGTGCCCACCCACACTCCAGTCCATGCAGCTTCAGAGGAGGTGTGGGCTGGAAACTGAACACAGCAGTCAACAGCTCTGATGCTTCTGAAAGAGTCATGACGAGTCTGACCTAACCTTCCTTCCACCCATCCCCCTCCCTTCTTTCCTTCCCACCCCTCCTTTCCTTCCTTCCACTCACCCCCTTCCTTCCACCTACCCACCCCTTCCTTCCTTCATTCCCTTCCTTCCTTCTACCCACTCACCCTCCCTTCCTTCCTCCCTCCCACCTTTCCCTTTCTTCCTCCCACCTCTCCCTTCCTTCCACCCACCCCTCCCTCCCTCCCTTCCCCCCCCCCTTCCTTCCACCCACCCCCCCCTTCCCCCCCATCCACCTCTTCCTTCCTTCTACCCACCAACCCCTTCCTTCCACCCACCCCTTGCTTCCTTTCACCCACACTCTCTTCCTTCCTTCCACCCACCCCCCCCCCTTCCTTCCTTCCTTCCACCCACCCCTCCCTCCCTTCCTTCCCCCCCACCCCCCTCCCTTCCTTCCCCACCCACCCCTTGCTTCCTTTCCCCACCTCCCCTGCCTTCCCCCCCCCCCCCCCCCCCTTCCTCCTACCCACCTCTCCCTTCCTTGCACCTACCCCCCCTTCCTTCCACCCCCCCCCCCCTTCCACCTACCCCTCCCTCCCTTCTACCCCCCCTCCCCCCCCCCCAGACCTCCCTTCCTTCCTTCCTCCCACCCATCCCCCCCTTCCATCCACCCCACCCTTCCTTCTTTCTTCCCACCTTTCCTTCCTTCCACCCCCCCCCCCCCTTCCCCCTCCCACCCCCCTCCCTTCCTTCCCCTTACACCCACCCCCTCCCCTCCTTCTACCCACCCTTCCTTCCCCCCCCCCCTTCCTTCCTCCCCGCCTCCCTTCCTTCCTCCCCCCCCCCCCTTCCCTCCACCCACCCCCCCTTCCCCCCCCCCCCCCCCTTCCCCCCTTTCTTCCCCCTACTCCTCCCTTCCTTCCACCCCTCCCCCACCCCCTCTCTCTTCCCCCCACTCCCCACACTCCCTTCCTTCCCACCCCCTCCCTTCCTTCCCCCCTTCCCACCCCTCCCCCCTTCCACCCACCCCTCCCCCCCTTTCTTCCTTCCACCCCTTCCTTCATTCCTCCCACCCCTCCCTTCCTTCCTACCACCCACCCCTCCCTTCCGTCCATCCACCATTCCTTCCTTCCACCCACCCCTTCCTTCCTTCCACCCCCACCCCCCCCCCTCTCCCTTCCTTCCATTCACCCCCTTCCTTCCTTCCACCCATCCCTTCCCTCCTTCTATCCACCCCTTCCTTCCTTCATCCTACCCTTCTTTCCTTCCACCCCCCCACCCCTCCCTCCCTTCCATTCACCCCTCCCTCTCTTCCATTCACCCCTCCCTCCCTTCCCATTCCCCCTTCCTTCCTTCCACCCCACCCCCCCTCCCTTCCTTCTATCCACCCCTTCCTTCCACCCACCCTTCCTTCCTTCCTTACACCCACCCCTTCCTTCCTTCCACCCCTCCCTTCCTTCCTTCAAGAGGGAGAAGTTGGTTGGGGACCGATAAAAATACAGCTCAGCTGCGAGCTGAACCCCCAGAAAAAAAATATCTACAGCCTTGGCTGGATCTAAACGGATTTGTGTCCATTTACATCAGACTGTCTGATTCATAACTTTTAGGCCTGAAAAAACAGAAAAGGACTCAGTCCTTTTCTTTTTTTTTTTCAGATCTGGAATAGGTGGATAGGTGGGTGTAATTGGTTTTTCCATAGTGCTGTATGTAGCTTAGGTCTGTCTGAAAAACTGACAGGCAGACCTGATCATAAATCCCCGGATGAAAGGGCCCTTAAAGTAAAATAGATCAGCAAAAGTATGAAAACCATCTGAAAAGTGAGGGTGCAACAGATTCTCTGAGTTAGGTGTTTTCCTGTGTTCATAACATTTTATACAAAGTAAAAATAAGTCTAAGGGCTGTTTCACACCAGATGAAGTCCAGTGCGTTTATATTCGTGATTCTTTTTTATTCAAAATTGCATGCGCAGTGTTTAACATGGATTCCAATGGCACTAGTTCACACCAGTTCCAGTGCAGTCAACAAAAGTAGAACATGTTGCATTTTATTATGTATGCAACACATCTGGAAAGCAATAAAAAGCATCATGTACACACCAGAAAGCACATGTCCCCAAATGAGATGAAGAAATTGAGAGGGGGAAAAAACGCATTGGAACACATCTAAAACACACCAGAATGCATCAAAAACATGCATGCAGAATCCCATCCGCAATGTAGAAATTGTGGTGTGAACCGGCCCTCAATGTTTAACCAGGTCACAAAACTGAATAATCTATATTCTCTTCCTGATCTCTTCTCCACTTCCTCTGTTATCCATTTAGTTTTCTTTTTCCGTTTAACCTGATCTGTAACACAAGTTTAAATTAAAGTGAATAGTAGCAGAAAAAAAAAAGCAATTCAGTACTTCCTGTCCCATGCCTATATCAAAAAATAAATAGCAAACCTTTCACTGCACTTGTGTGGGACTCACATCAGAGCTGCACTCATCATTTCAATACACAGGAAGACAGACCTAAGCATCTGTGGAGACATGTAATCTTATCAGCACACAAGTGTCTTTCACTGACTCCTCACCAGCTTAGAACAAGTTACACTGACAGCTCTGGTATCACCAGAAGGACTACCCTCAGTCTGGTGCAGAGCTGATATATACCCAACAATGCAGACTCTAAGTCTAACTCCAGTTTTTAAAAGAGTGAGGAACAATTCTATATTATTTGGTTTCAAAACAAAACTACAACCGAAAATAACTAGAAAAAAAAATAGAATAGCTCGTTAAATGATAAAATAAAATGTATAACTTTTAACTTTCAGTCCAGAAATTCCCCTGCAGTACTTTTTTTTTTTGCACAGGATGTCTGATGGCCAGCATCAAGTAGAACAACACTGCACCTGAGAACCACAAACCAAAAACGCTATTTTATGACTTGCCCTGCAGAGGATTTACCCCTCTTCCTGACCAGGCCATTTTTTGCGATACGGCGCTGCGTTACTTTAACTGGCAATTGTGCAATGCTGTACATAAATTAAATGTATGTCCTTTTTTCCCACAAATAGAGCTTTCTCTCGGTGGTATTTGATCACCTCTGCAGTTTTTATTTCTTGTGGTACAAACAAAAAAAAGACCAACAATTTTGAAAAACAAAACAATATTTTTGACTTTTTGCTATAAAATATCCAATAAAAAAATGTAAAAATCAAATGTTATTATAAATTTAGGCCAAAATGTATTCTGCTACATGTCAGTGCTAAAAAGAAATCACAAAATATATAAATTAATTGGTTTACATGAAACTTATAAATGGCAGTATATATATTGGAATTTAAATTTTTTTTAATACTAGTATTGGCGGCAATCAGCGACTTATAGCGGGACTGCGGCAGGCATTCTGACACCAGGTGGGAACTGACTAATTGCCACTGACATCCCCAGTGACACTAATACAGTGATCAGTGCTAATAAAAAGCACTGACACTGTACTAATGACACTGGGCAGGAAGGGGTTAACTTTTTGGGCGATCAAAGGGTTAACAATATGCTCTGTCTGTTTTACTATGTGTGCTGTGTGCTGTTTTACTAAGGAGACATGCTGTTTTGTATCTCTCTGCTGTACAGAGAAATACAAAGCAGCATGTCTATGCTGACAGGGAAGAGACCTGTGTTGTTTACACACAGGTCTCTCCCCTGTCAGCTTAACACAGCGATCATCGAGTGCCAGCCAGGAAATGCCAGCCGGGACCATGTGATTGACATCCATAGCCACCAATAACAGCACAGGAAATGCAAATAATGTATATATACAGGATTTGGCGCAGTCCTGTCGCCCTGTAGCAGTACTTCTACTGTACAGTGGCGGGCAACCGATTAATTTCATTTTTAAAAATTCAAAGTATTTACTTCCTGGAATTCATCTGCTTTAGTTCAGGCATGCAGGCAGAAAAAGAAGGAAGGTGTGTTTAGCTGGGAATGTTTGACATCATTTGTCTAGGCTTGGAAACCAAGAAGTAACTGAAGAAATCTATCTAAAAAAAACTATAAAACAAGTCAATACGATATACTTTCCTATCTATTTACTAATGCTAGCAGCTTAAGGATTAAAAACAGTCAATGTTGACTGAAAGTTCTGCTTTAAACCCACTTCCTCTGAGCCCAGGCCATCCTGAACCCACCTCAAGTTGTGATTGGATAATGAGAGGAGAAGCAGCACAATATCACTCTGATTCCTCTTCATTCCAGCATGCTTGCATACACTGTAACCCCCGGGGTACTCTAACAGCCTCCTCCATCTTAGAATGATGAGCATACATACCAATCAGTAGTAGGGTTTACCCTAAATGTTAACTCCGTCCCAGCCAGTGTCATTAGTACAGTGCCCCCCCCCCCCCCCCAGCACACTATCACAATCCCATTATAAGTCATTGATCACTTCCATTACTAGTGTACAAAACATTTTTTTATAAAAACTCCAGAAACCAATTAATATACAGTTATTGGGATTTTTTTTTTTTACCAAAGTCATGTAGTGGAATACATGTTGGTCTAAATATATGAAGATATTTGTTTTTTTAATTTTTTTTTATTGGATATTTTTTATAACAAAAAGCAAAAAAATTGTATTTTTTTTTTAAATTTTTGGTCATTTTTTGTTTTACGTAATAAAAAAACTCAACGATGATCAAATATCCCCAAAAGAAAGCTCTCTTTTTGGGAAAAAAAAATATTCTGTATGGGTACAGCTTTGCATGATCATGCAATTACCAGTTAATGTAGCATAGTGCTAAATAGCAGAAAATGGCTCAGTCATGAAGGGAGTTGAATCTTGCAGAGCTGAAGTGGTTAAAGTGCCACAAAATACCACTTATTAAACTCATGCATGTTAATACATGCAGGGGTCTCCAAACTATGGCCCTCCAGGTGTTGAGGAACTGCAAGTCCCATGAGGCCTTGCAAGACTCTGACAGCAACAGGCAAGACTCCCAGAGGCAGAGGCATGATGGAAGTTGTAGTACTTCAACAGCTAGAGGGCCATAGTTTGGAGACCCCTGCTCTACAGAATAGTTAATATTGGATTTATGCAGGTCCTACATTTAGCAATTTGGTTGCAGGGAAGAACATTGCTCAGTTCCCTCATTAACACATTCAGTGTTGATAGGGGAATCCTTCCTGCAGTGCTACTGTGTTCTGCCAGCAGTGATCACAAAATATCTAACAGGTTCTCCATAGTTTGGAGACCCCTGCTTTATAGTATTACATGTCTGTATTGATCTGTGGAGATCAGTGCAGCTTAAGGACATGATATGAACAAGCCCATACTCTCTTGTTCAAATGTGGTGGATGTGTTGTGTTTTACAAGAATGGTATATAGCTGCCATCTTGCAACTTTTACATTTGTGTTTTTCCTACAGCTTTACTGATCTGAATTACAGTAATGAAACTACTGTTGAAGTAAGGCTGTATTAATAACACAATACCCCAAAGCACAATATCAAAGCACTGCTGAGTCTTCCAGAGGTATTAGATTCAAAGAAGTCCTATAAATAATACACATTAAAATTTAAAACCAGAAAAAAATGGGGCTCATCTACAAAGGTAGAGGATTTTCACTTTCAACATGAATTTTCACTTATCTTGGTGACTGAGGTGAAATCAAGTGAATTTTTTACTGTCCAAAAAATACTCAATCATGTGCTAGAAAAAAAAAAAGGATTTTTGCTGACACAATTGAATTACTGAACTTCACCCAATTCGCTAAGCTAAGTGACTTTTCACTTTGCAAAATGAATATTTCACATTGTTTAGTGAATAAGGCGAAACTCTACTGACTTCAATCATCCAATCATGTGCAAACACAAATCCTGTTTACATTTTTTTATTGCACATAATTGGGTAATCTTTGCAAGTTGAATTTTAACTTTATTCACTGAAGTGAAAATTCATTTTAAATATAAAATGACTCTTTTAATAAATCAAGGTCATTATGCATATGTAAGTAATGCAATAAGTCCATTTATTGCTTTCATATTGGACTTAAACAAAAAATACAGGTACATTTATTGGCCAACCAATCACTGTTACATAAGAATTTATAAGCATCTTTAAAGAAAAAAATTTGATTTAAAAGAATTTTGATTTGTATTGATTTACTAAAACTGGAGAGTGCAAAATCTGATTCAGCTGTGCATGGTAGCCAATCAGCTTGTAACTTCAGCTTGTTCAATTAAGCTTTGACAAAAAAAAAAACCTGGCAGCTGATTGGTTTTAATGCGGAGCTGCATCAGACTTTGCACTCTCCAGTTCTAGTAAATCCACCCCTTAATCTTTCCCATTATTTATTATTAGAAAATGCAAGTTGTTGGGCTGCACAAGTGAACTCACATCAGCTATTTCCTATTAGGTTTGCCAATGCATTTTTATTAGTCACTCAGATAAAAAAGCATTCTGAAGAACAAAAGCAGTTAATGCCTGCCAACAAATACATGTGTAGATTGTATATCTCAGTCTTTGCTACACTGCAGTTCACTAGTTTTTTTAAATCCCAGACTTGTACCTACATAGCCATTTTTTTAATATTCTTTTTAAAATAGCAAATGATTAACAAATTAGCAAAGGACAGTCCCATATGCGGAATACTGGGAGAAGGATGTAACTGTAGAACAGCCTTTTTCAACCTTTTGGAAGATAAAAAAAGGAGATCAACAGAAGAGTCCTTAAAATACTTTGTAGGTTTCAGGCAACACATAGTTGTGGGTGGGACCAGTTGGTTGGTACCCGAGCTGGAAGAATGGCACACGGGCCAAATACAGTGACACAATTATTATTTGGTTGAATGACGATAACACAAACACGTACAGAATAAGAAGGTACTTAGCTTACAGTTCCAACCACTTTGGTACCAAGGCTCAGTAACTCAAGTCAACCCAGGTGCAATAGTTCTGAGCAGTGTTAGAAGCACATTGGGGTAGTCCCAGTACTAAGCTTGTTACCCTTGTAGGCTTATGTTACCGGAGCATCATCTAGGTGGAGCGGTGGTTGTAGCAGAATAACGGTACTTTGAAGGTCTGATCCCAACCGTTTGTCACCATACCAGAGTCTCAGGATAGTGGAACCAGCAGCGGTATCCCTAGTCTGTCCCTCCTCCTCAGGAACATTTCCCTAGAGCTAAGTAAGCTGTCCACAGCATGAATAGTGTCCATTCTCTATCCACTGCACAAATGTGCACCAACTGTAGCGGGGTACTGCTACTTATTAGCATTGCCCCCACTAAAGATGGCTGCTGAGATCATCCAGTGTTGCAGTTTAGTCTGAGGCAAGATGCAGGCTATGCTTGAGAGGGGAGCGTGTTCATGAGGCAGGCTGTGATTGGGAGGAGGTGTGTGCCAGAGGCAGGCTGTAATTGGTTGGGGGGGAGGGGGGGGGGGGGGTGGCCAAACTAACTTTCCGCACAGGCATGCTGTGTGTATACACAGTGTCCTGTACCTCTTACCTCTAAAAACTGACCACACTGTCACAGATCAGCTTCTGTGGTCAGTTTAGAACAAGGAAAAAAATTGGCTGGCAGGATCAAACAGGTATGGAAAACATACATGAAAATGATACAGACTATGATCTATAAAATACACATATGTGAACACACACATAGAAAACAAAATGTTTGTTGTGGTAACATACACTTTAAGTTTGCCCAGAGAGACACTGTCACATAATAAATAACACAGAAATGAAAACTTGACAGCTGTTCAACTCTTCTCTGCTAAACAGGGTATTTATATTGCTGCTAACACAGACAGCATACAAAATGCTTACAGAGGTCCTATCACGTTTCTGCTTAATAACAAGGCTGTAGTTGGACTTTAAAGTATAACTTCACCCAAAAGGGGGAGTTCTGCTTGTTTGAATCACCTTAACCCTCCACTGCCACGTTTGGCACTTTTTCTGGTCGGAGGGTTCAGTGGGTCCCTGGTTTTGACAGCTACCCGCTCCCACTCCCAGTCAGATGCGCTGCGGTGATCTGAGACAGCAATTCCCCACCCTCCTCCATTCCCACAGCCTTCTGGGACACTTCACAGGTCCCAGAAGACTCCATTCACAAAGCGCATGCGCAGTAGGAAGTCCCTTACTCAACCACTTGCCCTCCTGAGGATTTACCCCCCTTCCTGACCAGGCCATTTGTTGCGTTACAGAGCTGCGTTTAACCGACAATTGCGCAGTCATACAATGCTGCACCCAAAGAAAATTTATGAACTTTTTTCCCCCACGAATTGAGCTTTCTTTCGGTGGTATTTGATTGCCTGTGCGTTTTTTATTTTTTGCATTCTAAAAAAAAAAAAGACCAACAATTTTGAGAAAAAAATATATTTTTAACTTTTTGCTAAAACCGCTTTTTCGTCCACCCTATAGCAGAAATACTGCTACAGGGCGGCACAGGTGCGCAAAATCACGTATATATACATGATTTTGCATTTCTGGGTAGGGGGCTTGCACGAACCATGTCACTATTCGCGGCCTCGTCTGTCAATCACCAGGTCCTGGCCAGTGCCCAGTGATTTCCAAAGATCTCTGACGGGAGAACTGTTTTGTTATCTAACAGTTCTCCTCCCTGCACAGCACAGCCATCCAGAGCAGTGTGATTACAGTGAAGCACACAGACACCGCCCCCTAGTAAAACAGTTTCTGCACACAGTTAACTCTTTGATCGCCCCTCATGTTAACCCCTTTCTGCCCAGTGCCATTAGTACAGTGTCAGTGA